TTGTAAGCTGCAATGACTTCGGGGGTGCATTCGCCTACTATGGGGTACGAGTTTACACTTTGGGAGCTTCAGAACTAGATTGGCCACCCGCTTCGACGCCCGAAAGACAGTATGTAAGTATCTAAGGTGCTTGGTCTGCTTAATTACACTACCTACATCGTCAGCACATAGTCGAGCTAGTCCGTGTCCGCGTTTTTTCTATCAACCATTCGAAGTGAGCGGCGAAGGCGTGCGAAGCGACAGCGTAGAGAGCGCCACTAGCGGGACAGCCCTGGATAATACCTGACTCGATCATGAACATAAAGATAACGGTGGACCCGATCTGACCCCAACACGAGACTTCAGAGTAAATCGTTTCCAGGAACGCGTACAGGGGCGGCGGCAGGTTGAGCGTGCGCAGCATCAGGAAGATCCAGTGCTGTGAGACCGAAGGGAAAGCCTGCCCGTAGTCGAACGCCAGTAGGGCAGGCATACGTGTCCGTACTTCTGGCATCATGGATGCGACCCGAGCATCTGCATCGAGCTCAATAATGTGGCCCCCGAAGTTGCGGGAAGGGACGAAGCCCCGTTGGGACCCACGAATAAAAGATGGCAGGTTGAAAATAAGCGGCCTGATACACACCGACGTCAAAATCTTGCAGTCCGCGCTGTTCAAGCCCAGGGGTCTGGTTCCGCTCGGGTCACGGATCGCAACCTCTGAGTCCTCGGGCTCGTCGCCCTTGACCAAGAAGGCCCCCTTCAAGATGTTAAAGCCGAAGAGAGGGGGATTGCCTGCCAACATCCAATCCAGAAGCTCCGAGAGGACCTTGGAGCCCGAGGGGTGGTGCTTCCAGGCTCCATAGGGAAGCTCGCCGGGACCAGGGGCACTAGGGGTGACCCTGGCGAGGAAGCGGGAAATGTCTCTTTCCGTTGGCGGTGGCAGTCCACTTAGGTCAACCTCTGGCTTAAACCTCTCGGCGCACGCGAACCCTGCGGTCTTGGAGACCTCCGTCTTAGCAAAAACCGGCCCCCAATGCCGAGCAAGCCCGTGAAGAATACTGGAGGAATCAGAAACAATATGATTGGGACCAAGCCGTAGTCCACGGAGCTGCAACTTGCGGTCGAACGAAGACCAAAGTTTGCATCGAACCTGGAGACTACGCATCCGACGGGCCATCTTGGCCCTGACTTTTTTCAGGTAGGTCCTCGTCCAGAAGGTTTTTTTTTTTTGTTCGGGCCTCTGCTCTGGCGGCGTTGAACATAGCGAGGTGCGCCTCGTCGGAAGCGGCCTTGAAACTCACGGGGTCGACCGCCGTGACCACGCGCGCGTGCACATCGACCGACAAAAACTGCTTGCCGAAAGGGTGGGAGTACATTATCTTCTCGGCCAAAACGATATCTTGATTCCATACGGCTCGAGCGATAGTACGACATGCTAGGTATCGTGCGAGAGGGTCAAGATGTTTTCCTCTTAGAATAGCGTTTCGGGCAAATCCGGCGGCCTCGTGCATCAGGTTTTTACAAAATTCAACTCGAAGAGGGGGCGATAAATCAGAATCGTCGACTTCTTGTAACACCTTAGCGATGAACCTGGAATACTCTGGCCTTTTGAAGATATCCTGATGCATCTTCTGCTCGTGCGGCTTGGCCGCCACTCGGGCAGAAAACGTGGCACTGATGGCGGCGTGGTCGGAGACGCGCGTCCAAGCAAGCACTTCAGGGTAGCCGTGGACGCGGGCACCTGTAGACATCCGGGTAATGCACCATCCAGGTGCTGACGCAAAAATCCGATCCAGCTTCCCAAGAGTCCCCTGTGCTGCACAGAAGTGGGTAGGGTCGGAAACGTCGATCTCAACGAGCTGTCCCAAGACGGTTCTCCAGGGTCCTCCAGAACGAGGGAGTACGGCTGGGGGCCGAAGGGGAACACGAAGAGAGGTCAGGCAGCACTCTGGGGGCCTCATCTGAGAAGTTGAAGTCGCCACCTACGAACACGAAGCCTTTGGTGGGGTCCTTGGACGCCTCTAGGATGTCCTGGGAGATAGCCTCTAGGATCTTCTGCCTCTGAGAAGTACTGAGCCCATGGTTGTGAATGTTGAAATGGGAAATCCAGACACCTCCTGGAAACAAAACTCGAACATTCAGAGCACGAGCGGGGACTAACTCGATCGGCACTATCGTCGGCTGTCGCCGGCAGCCGTGCGTCTTCTTAAAGTCGGGGAGGAAGGTGATCACCCCGCCAGCAGGATGCGGAGACGGAGGGTGGAGCGAGAAGAAAGCCTGGACAGGACGATGTAGATGGCACAGCAGATCTCTGATTTCAGCCTCGGTACCGTGGGACTCCTGGATCCCCAAAATCGAGCCTGACCCCAACAGGGATCTGATGTATTTGATCTTCCTGGTTCTAACCTGCGGCCTGTAGTGAAACAGCGACTGTGCATTCCAGGCCCCCACCACCAGAGAAGTAGGGCCCGAGGAGGAGCTGCTCCACGCCGCGAAGAGCGGGTTAAACCTGCCACGCAACGGGCTCCGGCGGCCTGAGGATCTCGGCCAGGGCCTCTTCGATGTCCGCTTTGATGAGCTGGAAGGCTGCCAGGTTCTCAGCTGCATACTCGATCTGCGGGGGCTCATCGCCAGCACGCGGAACACCACGAACGAGAGGTTTCCATTGGAGCGATATCTCGCCCTTGGCCTTCTTGATGTGGAAGTGATGCTGTGGATACAGCGAGGAAAGTACACGTTTGATCTGCTTGGCGAGGATCTCTCGCTTGACTTGGGCGGGGCTCTTGTCGGCGGACACGTAGCACTCGCGCTGCACTCCCATGGCGTCGGTGGTCGAGAATGTCTGCCACTGCTGCGCGCTGATCTTGAAACTGCCGATGATCTGGTTGATCTTGCGTGCGGCGAAGTTCCTCTGGCCTTGAACTCGGAGCGCGAAGCGTTTGCCAGCGGGCTCGCCCTCCAGCACCGCGTCCGTCTCCGCCATGTTGTTCTTCGCCAGGATTGGGGCCACGACAGACTGCTGCACGGCAGACTTAGTCGCGTAGTTCTTCGACCGAATGACCAGGATGGTGGGGTCGGGAGCTCTGTCGAACGAAGGTGATGCCACTTCTTCCACAACCTCAGGGCGTTCTGTCTGCATGAGGCCGAGCAGTTCTTCCAAGTGCTTGACTTTTGCGGCCAGCAGATCGACCTTGGTGTTGGTGGCCTTCTGCTCTCTTTCCACACCAGATAGCCGAACTTCAACTTGTTTAGATAATTTGCCACAGGTGTCCTTGACCGCATTCGCCAAGGAGCCGATGGAGGTCTGGATGGAGTTGATGGACGCCAGCAGCTCGTCACGGGTCGTGTCGACGTAGGCTTTGAGGTCCATGTCTGGGTCCTGGAACTCTGAGCTGCGGGACCTGCTTCGACCATCCTCAGGGCGCCGGGGATCACGCCACCTGCCGCGGGTGCCGCGTTCAGCCTGAGGAGAAGCTGGACCACCAGTACCAGCACGAGGTTGCGACGGGAAAGTAGGAGCTGCCTCCAGCATGGCGGCCAGTGCCTGGCGTTCTGCTTCGGAAACAGGGACGCCGCCATCAGCATGCATTGCTTCGCTAATACTAGGTATGAGCAACCACAGCAATGGAACGCGGAAGCTGGAATGGAGCGTGCTTTGGCGCACGTTTGTTGCGTGCGAGGACTGACCTCGGGAAGGTTCGGGCCTCCCCGTCGGCTTCGACCAAGGATCTAACCCCAGGGGGCAGGTTAGAGCCTTGAGCCAAAATGGCTACGGACCTCCTCCTCCTCCTCCTCCTCCTCCTCCTCCTCCTCCTCCTCCTCCTCCTCCTCCTCCTCCTCCTCCTCCTCCTCCTCCTCCTCCCCCCTCCACCCCAACTTGGCCCGCGCATCCGCCCGCCCGCAAGCTGCACGAACGACCAGGCCGTCGCGGGCCGGCGAGGTGGAGCCGCTGAGAGCACCCGCTGCCCGGCACCGCACCCCGACTGCTCGCGCGCCCTCTGGGCACATGGCGCTTTTCCTGCTTTCCAGGATGACTGGGGGGCATCGCTGAGGGGCAACGTGAGGGGGGGGAGCAGCTCGGGGGGGGGAGCATTGAGCTGGGATCGGCGATGCATCGCCAATACCGCGTGGATCGCTCGTCCTTGAAGCAGCGCGGCTCTCCGACAGCAGGGGTCCGAGATCACCTAGGTTCGCGCAGCGAGCCACGCGACGCGCAGTCAAACCTTCGCGCTCTCGTGCCGCCCCCTGGAGAGAAGGCGCGGTTTTCCGATCGCAGGGATCGTTGGACGTGGACCTTCTGGAAGTAGAGCGCCGAACCAGGACCGCGAAGACTGTTTGGTCAACGATCAGTATTCATGCTGCGTGTGCCTTGTGTGACCCCACTGCAGTGTGCGGGGGGGAGGCCTTTAAGCGCCGGCCTAAAGCCACACGGGCAAGCGCAGGGAACTTTGGACGTGGACCCCTCGGGGTGCAGCCTGGCCAGTTTCCCACCCCCTAGCGACCCTGGGCAGCCGCTGGGACTCGACGGGTGCCCCGAGGCGCAGAGAAGGACCCAAAAGCCTGTCCGAGCTTCGTCGCCGTCGTCTTCCGCCGTCGCCTTTGCCTTTGCCGTTGCCTCTGCCAGCGCAGGGATCTTTGGACGTGGACCCCTCCTGGGCCAGCGGCGGCGCTCGGCCTCGAACGCCCGCGGCCTGGGCCGCCCGCCGCGTCGACACAGCACCAGCCCGAGCGCACGCGGTGGAGCACGCCGACGGCTCGAGCCGGCTGCCCCGCCGCGCCCCTCCGCTGCCCTGTTGGACAAGCGCGATCCACCACTCGCAAAGGAGAGCCGCTCGCAGATGCCCTGGATCCGCCGCAGGGACTTTACGACACATGACAGAAAGGCAGACGTGGGGCCTTTCGGGCGTTTGCGAGTAGGCACTTTGCGGGCAGCGGAACGCGCTCGGCGACCTACAACTACACCCGCTGTGCTCGCACAGCTCAGAGCTCGGCGCACGCCGGCAGCACCTCGGCTGGAGCGGCTAGGCCCACTTGACGGCGGCCTGCCCCGGCCACGGGCATCGCCCCCGCTGCTCCACACCCCCACGGATCGCGGCGGTCCTGCAGGTGCGCTGGGCGTGCGTGCGGCACGGTCTCCGCAAAACCCAGCGGGTGTGCTCGGCGCGCACGCGTGAAACATGCGCATGCCCACCAGGCTCAACAGGCACACGACGGTGCAATCAACGCGAATAATTGTTTCGACACACCAGACGGCATGCGGTCTCTGCTGGCGTTGTGCCGATTTTGCTCTGATGGACAGGCTCTACACGCTGGCGCCACATTCGCAATCGAAACACTCCGCAATCCATGCACAATCCAAACAGTGTGTACACGCTACGCGCACTGGTGGCATCTGTATAGGGCGCTCACTCGCGTTCCTCCTCCTCCTCCTCCTCCTCCTCCTCCCACTCTCACGGCTCTGCCTGCATGCCAATCATTAAACAAAGAGGAATGCAACGCTGGTAACGGGAAACGCGCATATGGCACAAACACACACACACACACACACGACACGCACAGGGGAGAACTCTCGCAAATCTGATGATAGCCGTTAAATGCCAGCCACCAAAGACCGCCGAAAATTTAAAACCATCCGTAATACCTCCCGGCAAAGGAGGGGAGAGGAGAGAGGAGGAGGAATAGAACTGTAAGGTTGGGACGATAGATGGTTTCTCCTCGTGGGCCAGGGAAAAGGACAACACGATTGGGGACAGCCGGTGGTGCTGTCCAGCACGGGACAACCAATGACATGGGCACGGTGGGATCCTGGGGAGCCGAAAAGGCAGGCGACACTGGATAGGGTACCGTTCGAGCGGGAGCACGCGGAGGACAGGGAGAGAGAGAGAGAGAGAGAGAGAGAAAACAAAAAAAAAAAAAAAACAAAAAAAGGAAAAAGAGAAGGAGAGAGAGAGAGAGAGGAGCAGCAGCAACAGCAGCAGCAGCAGCAGCAGCAGCAGCAGCACCCGCCCCGCGCCCTGGACGCGGCTCGCCCCGGGCTCTGCGCGTCCATGATCCGGCGGAAGTCGGGGCGCTTGCTCAGCGCCCTCCCCGCGCCCACCCGCCCGCCCGCCGACTGCCGCCACCGCCGCTGAAGCCAAGCTCCTCCTCCTCCTCCTCCTCCTCCTCCTCCTCCTCCTCCTCCTCCTCATCATCATCATCATCATCATCATCATCATCATCATCAGCATCATCATCATCATCAGCATCATCATCATCATCATCATCATCATCATCATCATCATCATCATCATCATCATCCAACTCCTCCTCCTTTTCCCCCTCTTTCTCCACCTACTGTTCCCCTTCCTGTACTCTCCTCCCCCTCATCCCCCTCCTCATCCTCCTCCTCCTCCTCATCATCATCATCATCATCATCATCCTCATCCTCATCCTCCGCATCTTCCTCCTTCGCCTCCTCCTCATCATCATCATCCTCCTCTTCGTCCTCTTCGTTGTCTTCGTCCTCCTCCTCCTCCGACCCTCCTCCTCCTCCTCATCATCAGCCTCATCAGCATCATCACCACCACCACCACCATCATCGTCATCATCATCAGAATCATCATCAGCAGCAGCAGCAGCAGCAGCATCATCATCATCATCATCATCATCATCATCATCATCATCATCATCATCATCATCATCATCAGTATCAGCATCGTCATTATCATCCTCCTCCACCTCCCCCTCCTTCTCCTCCTTATCCTCATCCTCCTCCTGCTCCGCCTCCTTCTCCTCCTCTTTCTCCTCCTCCTCCCTGTTCCTCCTCCACCTCTGGGGATGTCATTAGGACTCTGGGGGGTGGTTCGCCCAGCCTGTGGCCATCTGTTTTTTTATGCTGTTTCCGAAGTTGATATCAAGGATACAATATTACTATGAGTATATCTGAATCCAATACCTATTGTGAGTGGACCCCTTCCGCGCATAAGCAAAAACCTCATCCTCTCCTTCACCAGCCGTTTCCTCTCGCTTGCCCCGCTCCGTATCCTCATTTTCTTATGTTTCCCATCCCCTTCACTACCAGCCGCGAGGAAGCAAAAATAAGGAGAAGGGGGGGAAAGTAGGAAGCGACGGCGTGGCCCTCCACCAGCGGCCTAGCGACGGCGTGGCCCTCCACCAGCGGCCTCTCCGAAGCGCGGCCCGGGGCCCCCTCGGAGGCGGCAGCCACGGTGCCGCCGACGACGCCGCCTCGTCTGGTCGTCTATCGTCGACATCGTTCTCGTCCGCGCCCTCGCCATCGCCGTCGTCGTCGCCGTCGATCTTCGACCGTCGACCGTACGATCGACGGTCGACGATCGACGCCGACGACGGACTGCGAGGACGCCGACGAAAACGACGTCGACGATGACGACGAAACGACAACAACTTGGGGAGAGGGGAAGAGAGAGGCAGGTAGACAGGTCCATGGGAGGAGGGAGGAGCGTGGACAGACGAAGGAGGGTCGGAGGAAAGAGGCTCCAGCCAGCCTCGCTCCTTTGTTTTTCTCTGGCCGACCCGCGATGCCACCGAACAGGTGTGTACATTATCCCAGCAGCTCGCAATCGGGCCATCGGACGGATCGAAAACACCGTCGCACTCGCACTAACTACTCGCACGCGCTGCCCATACAGTAGGCCCACGCCGCCCACGTCGGATTCAAGCGGCCTGAATCAACAAAACGCAGAGGGGAGCGACGCATCACGTTTTTCCCTACCGAGCTCAAGCGGAGCTTGCTCTACCCCCTGGTTTGGCTTGGCGGTGCGGACCTTCCCGCATACTGAAATTGGGCGGCGCTGGATGAGTTACCTGTCCCTCCTCGTCCTCCTCAGTCCTCCTCGTTCTCGTCTCATCCTCGCCTCATCGTCCTCCTCTCCCCTACAAGTATCTCATCCCAACTTGAATTCAGCGCAAAATGTGCCGAGCCAAGCTCTCCTTCTTCTGCCTCAGAGCTTCCTTCTCCCCGGGGGTACGCACCCGCGGGTCAAAGGGCAAATCGACCCGGCCTAAGCGGATCGGCGCGGCAGCGGGGTACAAATCATACGCTGCCTTCTCAGAGACGACAAGCTTGTGTATCTCAACGGGGACACGCAGAACATCTGAGTACCCCTTCTTCTCGTCAATGATCTGTGCTGGGATCTCCGCAGTGCCCCTCATCTTCTCCAGCTGCATAGTCACGAACTCGTCTTTCGGCTCCTGAGGCCACGGCTTGACGGCCCAGGCTGGGATGACGTTGGAGCACTTGATGGAGGACATGGCATCGAGGGGTACCAGCTTCATCATGAAACATTGGCCTCCGATGGTCATGTGGCCAAGGTGAAAGCTGCGAACCCCAGGAGTTGGAACTGGTACAAATCCGAAGTCGCATGGTTCCAAGCATACTTGGCCCACGAAGGTCATGCTGATGCCGTTGACGTTGACTCTCCCCTCTGTCACCTCGGTCACCTCGGTAGCTGCATTGGGCTTCACCAGCTTCACCTTCGCGAGAGGGACTTCGTCCGAGGACTCGGAGGGCTTCGGGCAGTCGCTGATCTTGGCACCCGCCTCGTCGGACTCGTCGGCATTCTTCCCCGGGGCCGCGGCCTCGGCAGCGGGGGGCTCAGCGGCGGGTGCGGGCACGGTCTTTTTCAAAGAAGGTTGCCAGCATAATTTCTTGAAGTCCAGAACGTCATGATTGGCACCTTTGGCAGGGATGAAAACGTTCTCGGTACCGACGTCGGCCAGGTCGCAGTCGTAGCCCGCGGTCCCCGCCCCGCCATGCCAGGACCTCAGCATACTCTCTGTCATATACCTGCCCACGCACGCTGCCTGCCAATAGATATCCTTGACGCGAGTGAAGGCCACGGCGTACGTGCTTTCGCCAATCTGAATGGTAGGCCGACCGTGTATCATTTGAGAGGGACGCTCGCCCCCAGCCACAAGAGCGCTGCTCGCTTCGCCCCTCTCCTTCAGCATGTCGTGCACGAAAGCGTTGACCTGCGTGTCCCACTCCGTGATGAACATGGCCTCGGATTGCTTCTCGTCTGCAATTGCCTTCTCTGTGATCATCGGTACCAGAAGCTCCTTCGTCATGCTCTTCGCATCCTTCGCGGCCACCCCGTGCGTCTCGGTCAGGGCCAGCTGCAACTGAGAAACGGTCATCCGGCCGTGCCTTGACTGCAGAAACTTGGCCCTCTGTTGCCAATCGCTTTCGGACTTTCTTGGCGGCGGCGCGGTAGCGGTGACCTGGCTAGCCTTGATGAGGATCGAGGCCCAGGTCTCCTCGAAGCCGTCCTCGCCCTCAATGCTCGCCACGTCGGTCTGGAGAACATTCGATAGGCAGGAGCTGATGAAAGCCAGAGCTGACTTGAACTGGCCGACGATGGGATCGCCCGCGGCAGCGCCGCCCGCCTCCCAATACAACAGCACCAATTGAAGCAGCTTGATGAAGAAGATGCCCCGAAGCTCCAAGCACCGCTCCAAATCATCTGCAGAATTCCAAAGTCCAGTCAAAATGCCCTGAGCTACCTGAGACACACCACCCCATACCATATCTGGCTTCGGCTTCTCGGGGGCGTTGGCGTCGGAGACGGCGATGCTGAAGATGCCGCGCGCGTGGGCGATCACCTTGAATATATCGGGCCCCCCAGTGGCGGGGAACAGACACGTGTCCGCGAGGACAACGACGACGCCCTTAACGGTGGTCTCGAAGTCTGGCTCGATTTTGATTTCTTTGTTCTGCTTGTTGAGCGACGCTCGCATCTTGGCCATCGCAACGCACAAGTCCGTTGTCTCGAATCTGTCTTCCGTGGTGCTGTGTGGGTTCTGTTCCACGAACTCTCTCAAGATGGCCTTGAGCTTGGGCGTCTTCTTCACGATGTCCTGCAGGGCCGTCAAGTGGACAGCCATCGACGAGTCGGCGGCATCCTTGGACAGGCCGCGCAGAGCAGTAGCTTCATCATCATCAGCCTCATCCTCCTCGACTTCTTCGGAAGGCTGCACTCCGCCGGGAGCACCGGTAGTTTCGGCCACTCCGGCCTCGAAGTCCACGCCGTGCTTCTTGGCGCAGTACACGCAGACCACGTCGCGGACACTCGAGTACTTATCACCGTACTCATGCTCCTCGCCATCGTCGTCCAAGTAGCTCGTGGTGAGGCCCCCGTCAACGGCGAACGCCGCGAACAAGGCCACGCAGTCGTTGATTATATCCAATTGGACTTTGTCTCGCTCCAACTTCTCTACCGTCGCGCACAGCGCGTTCAAGGCGTCATCCATGAAGATGGTCTCGGCCTTCTGCATGCTGACGTCCGGGGCTTTGGATTTCGGGTTTGCCTTGGTCTTCGCCTTGCCGCCCTTCTTCTTGGCCTTCGGTTCGGTGGCGGGCTTGGCCATCAACAGATCTCCATTCGCTGCTTCACGAGCTCGCTTGAACACTTTGGAGTCGTACATCCTCTGAGTCAGTTTAGCGAGCCTCACGCAGTCCTTGGACTCGACGAAGCACCACGGGATCCCATCGTCAGTTGGGATTGATAACTTCAAGCATCCGAACATGAACTCCTTGTACTTCGTCACCCCCCCGTCAAGCTTCTCGAAGAAGGTGATCACTGCCTGCATGCAGATGACGACCTTTGTGGTGTTCAAGGAGCTCTCTGTGAATTTGGCATACTGCATGCAGTAGGACTCGAACCTGTCCCAAAGACCGTAGGTATCCTCGTCGCGAGTCCTCTGAGCGACCGAGGGTTCCTGCTTCCTCGCTCGCTCAGTGGACTCGCGGTGCCTCTCGGCCGAACGTAAATATTCAAGAGACGAGGGGAGGGCAGGCGTCCGAAACAAACAACGATTCCAATGAACGCAGTGGAAAATTGAACCCGAAGAGTCCTTGAGCTTGTTGAATACGATCTTCGCCCGGGTGAAGTCGTTGGGCAAAGCCCACACCTTAGGGTAGTTCTCCGAGATCCACTGCCACTGCTGCGCTTTGAAGCCCGTCTGCGACCTCTTTGCCTTGCCGCCGTCAAGTCTGGCCTTCTTGGCATTGTCCTCCTCGCAATCGTCCTCCGACTCATCATCGTCTTCGTCGTCTGCTGCCGCATCC